TTATTTAGTATGAAGTGCTGAATAACTATTATATTAGAAAAATCAAATTTGATTGGTTAATTTGAGGCTTCGCAGGAGTCCTAAATCACAAATCAAATTTGATTTCCAATATTATTAGCTACCTTATAGGTAGCGGTAATTATTTAGCTTAAGTGCCAGATAAGTTATTTATTCAGTTTTTCGTGATTAAGATATATTTTAAACTTCTTTTTTATAAATAAATAATATTTTTTCTCACAAACAATTTTTTCTTATGATATTTTTTTTTTTACAAATTTTATGAATAATTTTCTTTCGCAAACTAAATTCTATTAATAATTATAAGTAATTTTATATATTAAAGCTATAAATTATATTAATTTTAATAACTAACACTTTTTTAGACTTATTTCAAACTTACAGCTGAGAAATTTTCAAGGGTTTAACAAAGTTATGTACTATTAAATATTTTTAAATGTATTAAAAAATGGGTCAATATTTTAAATATTTAGCGCAAAAATGTGGAGTATATCTACACCTTAGAATCATTTTTCTTTAATGAACAAATAGAAAATGAAATATGTGAATTTATATATAATGTAAGAATAACAAAAGGCAAAATATATTCAGGAGCTTCCTTGAAAAATGCTATTGTCTCAATAAGCCATCATCTTAAAAATTCCAAACTGCAATAAAATTATAATCTTTTAAATAAAAAGAATTTTCCAAAACTTTATGTCACACTTGATAGTATCTTAATAAAAATGAAAAGATTAGGAATAGGTCTCTAAAATCACATAAAGGTTTAATAAATGAGGAATTAAAAATTATCTTATTTAATAATATCATGTCTTCAAATAAACCTAAAGGGTTGCTTCAGAAAGTTTTTTTTTGGATTTGTCTGCTAGGATATTTATGAGGTGACAAACATTACAATTTACTAATTGACTAATTTGAAGATACAGAAAAAGGATTTATTTTTAAGAAATTTCAACAAAAAAATAATCAAAAAGGATTAGAAGGTAATTAATCTACCTTTGAAATACTATTTTCATCAGATATTAAGGATATGGCTAAACCTAATGCAGATATTTGTAAGTATATTTCAATGAGACCTCTAAATTGTAAAACTAAAATATTTTATTTAGGAATCTCAATAAATGCATCAGGTAAATATTTTTTTAATTATTTTATTATTAATTAAATTTCTACTTAATTTTAATTTTTTTTAGTAATTTTCAAAGGAATATGGTTTTATGATCGAGGGACTTATAGAAAAATAAATTAGAGAAATATTTCAAGAAATTTGTTTAGTATGTAGTATTAATATATCTGAAAAATATATCTCTAATCATTCAGGATGAGATATAGCAATTCAATCAATATTTGATGCTGAAAATAAAGAAGTTGAAGCAATAGCAATTTTAGGTTATAGTTTATCAGTTGGAATACACAACTATTTTAAAATAACAAAGGAAAAAAAAAATATTCTTAATTTAATTATGCAAAGATTGATTGAAACTGTAAAACATGATAGTATTAATAAAAATGATGCATTACAAGACAAGGTATTTTTACATTTTATTATATCAATATTATTATATTTTTATATTGACAATTAATTTAAATTGTATAGTCATCTAATAGTTTTAATAAGGTTTCGCAACTATTAAATAAAAAATAGAGCCTTTACAAGAAATTTTATCTTTTGAATCAAATACAAGTTAAAATAAAAAAAGAAACGAAAAAAAATAATTATTAATAAAACTTACTATACAAATTGTACTATATATAATTAATTAGATTTAAATGTAATTTTATTAATACAAATAATGCTTAATAAAAATTATTAATGCCTGATAATGATTTTTTTCCTAATAACCATTTTTTTGCCTGATAAATGATTTTTACCTGATAACTGATTTATTATAGTCATTATTAATTAAAAAAATCACAGAATATCAGATAATTAATAGTCATTAAGCACGAAGTGCTGAATAACTATTATATTAGGAAAATCAAATTTGATTGGAAGATTTGGGGCTCTGCAGGAGTCCTGAATCACAAATTAAATTTGATTTTCAATATTATTAGCTACCTTATAGGTAGCGGTAGTTATTCAGCTCAAAGTATCAGATAAGTGATTTATCTGGTATCCCATGATTTCATGATAAACTTTTATATTATAAACTTTTTTTTTTTACATTTTAATTTTTTTTTTAAAAAATAATTTATTTCTTTAAACATTTCTTCATACTCAAATAATGGAAAATAGAAATTTTAACAATGTAAGAATATTAATATTTAAACATTAAATTTCTCAATCTACTACAAGATTAATAACTAAAAAATTCATTAGTCTTTTAAACCAACGGCTGAAGAGCTTATTCGAGTGTAACAAAGTTATGTTCTACTTAATACAATCAAATATACAAAAAAATGAGTTAATATTATGAACTCTTGGTGAAGCCTTGAAACTGTTGGTTATAATTATGCATTAGAATCTCTTTCTTCTAAAGAACAAATTGAGAAAGAGATGTGTGAATTTGTATATGAAGTAAGAACAAAAATTGGTGCTTCACTTAAAAATGCAGTTGCTTCAATAAGTCGCCATCTTAAAGATACTATTTCACAATGGAATTATAATTTATTGGACAAAAATAATTTTCCAAAGTCACATGCTACACTTGATGGCACATTAAAAGAAATGAAAAAAATAGGAATAGGTGCAGCAAAACCACATGAAGGCCTAACAAATGATGAATTAAAACTTATTTTAAATCATGATGCTGTATCTCCTAATGAACCTGAAGGATTACTTAGAAGAGTTTTCTTATGGATTTGTATATTAGGATGTCTGCGAGGTGGTGAACATTATAATTTACTAATTAGTCAATTTGAAGATACAAAAGACGGATTTATCTTTAGAAAATTTCATCAAAAAAATGATCAAGGAGGATTAGAAGGAAACCAAAATACCTTTGAAATACCATTTCCATCAGATATTAAAAGCAAGGCTGAAACTAATGCTGACATTCGTAAATATGTTTCAATGAGACCTTTGAATTGTGAAACTAAAGAATTTTATTTGGGAATTTCAACAAATGCAATAGGTAAATTAAAATTATTTAATTATTTTATATTAAATTAATAAATTTTAATACTTTTTTATTAGCAATTTCTAAAGGAAAATGGTATCATGATCGGGCACTAGGTGAAAAACGGATTAGGGGAATGTTTCGTGAAATCTGCATTGCATGTGGTATTTACATATCTGGAAGAAATATTTCTAATCATTCAGGAAGAGATACAGCAATTCAATCAATATTTGATGCTGGAAATGAAGTCGAAGCAATGGCAATTTCTGGTCATAATTCATCAGCTGGAGTACGTAATTTTCTCAAAGTGACGAAAGAAAAAAATAAGAAAATTCTTAATTCAGTTATGCAACGAATAACTGAAGAAATACCCAGTTCTAACTTAAAAACTGATGAAATAAAAGATGATAAGATGCAGAATGATGAAATCACATCTGATTTTAGCAAAGCTTCGGAATTATTAAAAAATAAGAAAAATAAGCGGCCATTACAAGAATCTTCTAACGACAATTTAAATATTAGCCATAAAAAGAAAAAAAGAAAAACTATAATTATAAATAAACATTATTATAGTAATTGCTCGATTTATAACAATTGATTTTAATATTATATTGTAATATGTAAATAATGCTTATACGATATAAGAAATTTATTGCCTAAATACACGAATTATCATAGTGAAAAAAAAACCGGAAAAAATCACGGGATACCGGATAATGTTTAATATGAGATTTAACTCACGATGCGCACAAATGGTATTTTAGGGATGTTAAGAAAAGTTTTATATTGAAAAAAATTTAGGGTTTAATCTGAGAGAAAGAAAAAAAATAAACTTGCTTTGCATTCAACTCCTTTATATTAAAGGAAAAAATATCAAATATGAAAATCTAATGAATAATTTACTTTTAAATTAATCATAAGCTGTCTGTTAAATGGATTTTTTTGTATTAATATTTGCCTTTCAGCGGAATTATTTAACAAAAATCGACACTAAGGCTGCAGGACAAAACCTTAATCCTATTTGGCAAAGGTCGACAGTTTCGATAGTTTTCAACGGTTTGACAATTTTTAAAGAATTTCGATTTAACTAAATTTGCAAAATTTAACTAGTTTTTTAATTAATTTTACGTTGATTCTCATGTCTTATTATTAATGTACCTATAAATTTTACCAAGCATGAGTTATTTTGCACGCTTTCCGAAATGACTAGACCAAATAATAATCTAGATGAATTCTAATTAGAAAAGAGAAGTATTATATTACCATCCTTAGGCACAGTCATCGTGATATTTAAGTAAATTCACGAATTCAGGCCCCTTCATGAACGTAGCAATGATCTTTCAAAATGATGGTTCTTATCTTAAATATTTATTTGGCAAAATCTATTGGAGAATGATAGGTTTTTCTCCTGAAAATCGAATGACAATTGCATCATCACGTTAATATTTTTTCTTTATGTAAGGAATTTTACTAAAAAGTTCATTCTATATAATATATCCAATCATTGTGAAATGTGAAGTATTTTGTATAATGACACTATATAAAAAAATTTATTAACGTTAATGTTGTAAAAAAAAAAATCCTTTTAAACTTTTTCTCGACAAAATTTTTTGAATGGGATTAGATCTTGATGTTATGCCATAAATTTTGAAATTCTCTTTTTTTTTTCGTGATGCATGTATATATTGCTAAAAGGTAAAGAAAAATTCTATCATGCATGTTTGTTAAAATGACGAGTTATTATGTGCGATTTAATGAACTTGGTTCTGTTAACATTGATTACATTTAAAGTGATGTTATTATGTATCTTTTTTTTTTTTTTTTTAAAGAAAAAACAGATATATTGAATTAACATAACAGAGAGATTTGATTCTATTTCATAATAATTTTAAAATGATGCTATTTTCTCAGCTACTATGAACCTCAAAGATAATCTGTTTCTTTCACGTCTGGTATAACTCCAATATTCTCAAACTTTAGGCATTCCATATATTTCGCATCCAACTCCCTAACTTCACAGTTAGGGTTAATCGCGACTGCATTAAGGGTTTTCCCATCTTCAGTGTTATTTTCTGAGTTAGGAATTCTTTCATCGGAACATGCATGAAGCTTGATGAAATCATTTGCTCTATTTAACGCAAACTTGACAATCTTTTCAGTTGGAATCATCTAAATTTGTGTATTATGATATAATCCAATCAGAAAAATTTGTACTAGCTTATCCGATAAAGATAATGAAAAACTTTACGTGAAAGCAGTGGCAAGCGTCGTCATAGACTTCGAGTGTCACTTTTGTGGGCTTCTTGAATGGAGATTTGGAAAAATTCTCCATAGCGTATTCGGGTACTTGGTACTTGCTTGGATCGGAAGCTTTAAAACAAAATAGAACTATTGAATCCCGAAATCTTTCTCCACCACCTGCTTGCTATATCATAATCATGTTAATTGTTTAGCAGTAATACTTTAAATTTGAAATTTCATGAACCAATATGGATGAGAATGGTTAGAAGAAAATGTACACATGATACAATAACCTACACAAAAAATAGGTGGTAAATTTCCTAAACTTTCAGCCAACATTGGACTGACATAAGGAATGGCCAAGGCTTCATTTGCGCAGTAGAACTTAATCCTTGGAAGATTGGTAAAAGAAGGGTGTCCAACCACTTTTGGCTTCTTTTGCTTAATCTTTTCTGATAGTATTTTTGCGCGTTCAAGATATTCAATTGACATGGGGCCTGGGGGGCCAAGAGGAGGAAAGAATAACTTGCCAGGTACCATATCAGATTTATCCATTCCAGGTTCCCTGTATGATGGCATGCTACTTGTTAAATCCACCCATGGTGACTTTGCGAATTCATCATTAAATTGGAGAGAAATCGTTAATTAGGATTGAATAAATTATAATAAAACATTGCAAAGCTATATAATATGATCTATACAAATAAAACAATTCCGGATGGCAATGGTAAACCAGAATCACGAAGAAACAGCGCGGTACCAACAGCCAATCCACCACCAGAACTAATTCCATAAAACACAATACGTTTTGGATCAATTGGCTCAAATCCAGCTTCCGGGCCAGGGTTGATAAGGTAAAAGTACGCTGCTAAAGCGTCGCAAAGTTGCGCAGGAAATTGATATTTTGGAGTAAGACGATAATCAATTGCTAATCATCAAATTCAAAAAAAAGATGAATTTATTATATCTTAGTTTTTTTAAATTAATGAATTGTCGATACAGAAAAAAAAAGTGACCGAGCAATACTTACAAAAAACTTGACAATCAGCATGCTTAGCGATCGAGAAAGTACCACGGCGAGATATTTTGCTGGATCCCGAAAAATATCCCCCTCCAAACAAGTGAAGTGCGACCCTTCCTGTGACCTTAATTTTTCCGAGATCATTTCCATCACCCTCGTTCTTATCATCCTTAACTTTAATCCACTCTCCGCATAACCCGCCATCATCAAAATCTTTCCAATTCTCATCCACAACGTCCTCATACATTTTCAACCCAACCTCTAAATATTCCTTACTTTTGATTCTATATCTTTCATCCAATTTGACCTCATTCACGATATGATTATTAGAAACTGGTATGGGCCTGTCATTCATGTAATGCTTTGCTTCTTCTAAGGTTCTTCTACCATCATGAAAATTATCTTTGATGAATTCTAAAGTCTCATAATATTGTGGCGATAATGATTGGGACATCTTGAATTTTGATGAGTTGATTAAAAATTTTACGGATAGCAATATTTAAAGAGATTCGCAAATTTACAATGGTATACATTGAAATAGTAATGATTTACATTTTTATTTGATCAATGAGATTCTATATTTGGAAAGATGATTATTGCATTTAATTTTTGATTAAAATTCAAGATATTTGATTATTAGTCAAAAAATTACCTTCTACAACACTCACGTTATTATTAGATTGGTGAAAAAAAAAATGAAATTATCTAATATAATGAGAAATAGCTAAATAATAAGGGATATAAACTATATTGAAAACAAAAATCCCAGAAAAAGAATTTGATTGTTACACGAAGCGAATGAATAATAAAAATTACCTGATTTTTGCTAAGAGGAACCTAAAGAGTAAAAAATATTCATTAGCGATCGAACCCGAAACAAAATTAAGCAAAGAATACAGACCCCCGCCAAAAGTCTCCGAACGCCATCTTTCAGGGGCTATTTCATACCGATTACGTCGCGTGACTGCATA